GGCCCCCGCCGCCCCTGCCTCCACTCCACTAGTTACAACAACAAGCAAAAAACCTACCATGTTCCCACATCTAAGGCCCTAAAATAGTAAATTCTGAATAAATTAAATGCCAAATTTCAACAATTTAAGTTTTTTTTTTTTTTTTAAATGGTTTTTTCAAGACAAGGTTTCTCCGTGTAGCTTTGGAGCCTATCCTGGCACTTGCTCTGGAGACCAGGCTGGCCTCAAACTCACAGAGATCCACCTGCCTCTGCCTCCCAAGTGCTGGGATTAAAGGCATGTGCCACCAATGCCCAGCTCAACAGTTTAGTTTAAATGAGAATTTTAGAATGACCTTGAGTGGGACAATTTTTACTACCTTAGCATCTTAAAGACTTATTTCTCAAATAAGCAAATATAAAACATGAATACACCAAGCTCATCACTTAACGTTTTAACAACAGAAACAGGCAGGTACTGTCAGGTAATGTTTTCCTAAGAGAAAAGAAATCCCGTGCTCTTGACATTTGAGACGGCAGAGATGTAGCCTGGCCAAGCCCTTCTAACCTCTGGCACCAACTAGGACAGGAGCAGCAGCAAAGACCAGAGGTAGACTGCGTGAGGCAAGGATGCTGGTCTGAGGGTAGGTGAGCCAGGTTTGGCCTTAACCATCACCAAGACAATGACAAGTCTCCGCCCCAGGCCCCAGTGTCATTTCCCTATGTTAATTCCAAGTCTTTCCCATTTTATCCCAGGAGAGTGTCTCTAATACTGTTTTCCTCAGATTCCCTTGAAATTCAAGAGCACCCACCTCCTTCTTAAAGCAAAGCGGTAAGGTAAAGCGTTAGTGCGTTACGGGTCAGCACTCGATTCCCAAGTGTGACCCACTCACTGTACGACACGCCCGAACCCCTGCCCCAAACACAGCCTGACTGCAAACAACAATTACAAATGCACATCAAATGGGAAAGTTGCTCCAGTGAGATGTGTAAAACACGACAGACAGTTCAATCTGCTAAATTTAAACATTACTCTAATGGTTTGTTAGACTCCTAGTTAAAATCATTATTTGGATAAAAATAGAAAGCATACAAAACCCTTCCTCTGTTTTAGATTGCGTCATTATGTCAGGTAAAACTAGAATGTCCTCCGTTAAAACAGGAAATCTAATTCTAAGCACAATGCAGCTCACACTTCTGGTCTTTGCAATTCTTTCCCATAGGTTTTCCCAGCACTTTAATGGAACTTCCCATTATTTCCAGTTCTCCTAAAATCTGAAATAAAAAGCTAAGTCATGAATTCATTGTGAATTAGTCTCTTACTCCCCCTTGTGGCTGACGTGGCTTCAATTCCCTTCTGAATTGCAACAGCAGTGACTCCAAACTAACCACTTTAGTGAAGTGCTCACAAAAATGTTAATGTCATGGTTGGTGCCTAGAGCTTATTTTACTGGGAACTTAA